TCCGATTGGATTCTCGAACATTCGCCGACCAGAGTATTGAAATAAATAGCTTGCTGAATCAAGCTAACAACTATTCTCGAAAGGCTTGATTTTGTGAAGGACTCGCCGGTTTTAAGTGCTCGACAAGTTTCTGTATATAACGATAACTTTATTAAAAAAAACCTCGGCTGGTAAAAGCAGCATTGCGGTTTATCAACGAAGGAGCAAACAAAACATTCATAATTGCGAGTGCTTTTTAACAGGCAAAAAAATTTGCAGACTTGAAATTGTTTTGCATTCAGCAATAGTCTGGGGAAAACTTCTGTGGCAGATTCTTTGAATTTTTCAATTATTATATTTGAATAACGCGAGTCCTGAGTTAGTGTGTTTACAGCATGTTGTAGCGCCTTTAATTATATCACAGAACCTCTTGAAAATACACAAAATTCCTTACTGAAGTCTATTCGCCAAAAAATTTAGATGTAGAGGAGATTAATATTTGGGAAAGAAAGTTTTTGGCCTTCTTTGTCAACCAAAACGATCCTTTATTGGATTGGATCATCAGGTGTGACGAAAAGTGGATCCTTGCGACAACAAGAAACGTTCAAGACAGTGGTTGGACACCAATGAGCCACCCAAGCACTTCCCAAAGGCAAAAACCCTCCAAAAGAGGACCATTGTTACTGTATGGTGGTCAGCGACTAGTGTTATTCAGTATAACTTTCTGCAACTGTGCCAAACCTTCCCAGCAAAGTGGCGTTGTGAGGATATCTACGAAATGCAACAAAACGAGACCTCTCGCCAACCGACTACCATTTTTAAAGCACTTCGGTAACTTTCTCACTGGTAGAACTTTCACCAGGACCAGAAAAACGGCCTTCGTCGACTTGATTGACGTTGTCAAAGGTGCACTGATTCAAATGACGCTCATTTCGGTTGAATTGGATAAAAGGTATTACAGTTTGAAACCCATAAAAACGGGAGAAACTTTTGAAACATCCTAACACCTTCCACGACTCCTAAACAATATTATCTACAGCAAACTCATCAAGAATCTGCCAATATCGCCCAAAATAACCGTTTGCGCTGACCGAGCTGTTTTCCTTGAACTGCCCGAGTTGGCAACATTTTCATATTATTGAGATGCCCGACAACGTCCTTATCTGGATTATTTATACGACCGCCGGAGGAATTTGAGCAAAAGGAGTCACAATTATTGTAGCCCCAGAAGGGTGATTCGCGATAATCCTGAGTTAGAGCTTCTCTCTCTCTCTCCCGATTTCTTTCGACCCTTCTCCATAATAATTTCTGCTGTATGGGTTGTTCCACTTGAGATTCCTTGTGACCAAAGAGACGATAAGGGATGAGAGAAGTTACCGACGGTACGGTGGGTTTTATGAAAGAAATGAACTGTTTTCGGTTATACAGTGCGGCCAATGAATAATAACATTCTTTCTATTCCGTTTATATTTCAAAAATTCTTGATGGAATTGAATCAGATATCACTCACAGGATTCCTACACAATATAAGTAATGAAATAAACAAATTTCTTTTACATGGAACACCGTCATCCTCACTGGTAGACATATTGATGTTTCGCCGACTACAACCGTTTCTCCGGTTTTGCACCATCAACGATGTGTTTGGCTTCGTTCCTATTGATTGGATTAAGTGTCCTGATATGCGTGTAATTTAGAACAGGCAGCCAAATTTTATTCATGTTAATTCCCTAATTTCGATTGAATTTTTGAATTTGCTTCGCCTCCCTTCATATTCTTGGATAGCATTTCGGAGATTTGTCAAGTAAATGCTTTTCATCGAAAAAAAAACGACGCATGAGTGCTTTCTTTGAGTGCTACTGCTACTGCTGAGTCAGAATTTATGCTCGAGGCGTCGATTTTTCTTGTGTTGAGACAGCCAGGTACTCACACTTCTTTTTGTGGTTCTAATGTACACTTTTCCGCAGCTACAAGGGATTCTTTATACCCCCGGTGTTGGTAAAGATTCTCTGAGGTTCTTAGCTGACCTCATAATCCCTTTGATTGTTTGGTTTCACGATGAATTTCTCCAGAATTTACCCAATTTAGTAGATCACTAACAACAGTAGATCAACTATGAGAGTTCTGTGACAGGAAGTGGCTTATCAGTGTTCGTGGTGGGGTTATCGCTGTTTGAGAGATAACGATTCGAATGCGCTTCAGATGATATGAGAAAAATAATAATTGTTTCAAAACACACCAATCAATCCCAAAAACCTCACTGTTTGGTGTGGATTTTGGGCTGGCGGCGGCATTGGTCTATATCTCTTTGAGAAAGACGCATACCGTATATCTATGAATTACCACAACTACATTATACTCAATATTACTGGAGTTTTTTCCCAACACCAAATCGTTATTTTTAACATCTCGACACGTGTTTCGATCACCAAGTGATCATCTTCAAAGAGGAAGATAAGAATTGAATCAACTTCCACTATTCAAAGCGTCCAACTAAACCCCACTTCGCTACAAGTCGCCCCAGCACCAAGAGATCTTAGTTCTCTCTAGAAAGTTCCGACCATGCCTGTACAAGCGAGAAATTAGGCGACCGTGTCCGGCAGAAAGTTTGCTTGGCAGTTCCTCAAAGCGAATCACCTGATGCATACACGCCTGCACTGATGAAGTTAATGAAGGTCGGGCTCAGGTGAACTCCGGTCTGCTCCTCAAATATTTAACAAGACGCGAAGGAGATTTCCAATTTCGGTGTCGCGACTTGATTATGTCCTTTCAAATATACTCTGGAACTTGGTAAGCAAAAGGGATATTACATGGGAGTGTATGTGAGAGGTTAATTGTATCAGAATTACGTGTACAGTCTGGTTAAAGCCTTAAGAGGAGATTCCCGAAATCAAAGACAAAAGATTCGAAATTGTTTTAGGCATGATGCCTTAGACACTTAAAAATTCAACTATTTTAACAATTGCCAGAATCTAGTTCAGACTATATCGTTAAGCATCTCATAAAACCTTTCCTCCAAGTTGTTTTAAATCCTAGAGCTGAAAGAACCTTAAGGATTTGGTCTTTGATTCCGAGGAACTTCCTTTTGACACTTTAACTCATTTGAAAAGTCTTTCAACTCTATCAAACCCTGTAACATTTTTGACTAAGGTGGTCACTGCTACAGTTGTTGATGTTTGTGTCAAATTTATTCTAAAATAGATCACTTGGTGATCCAAACACGTGTCGAGGTGTTAAAAGAAAGTTTTGGTGTTTTGGGAAAAACTCCAAACACCAAAACCAAAACAAAAACACCAAAGGTTCCAAACAGTGACAATCAGCTCAATTTTACTATAAGACTTTTTCATTTTTACCCTGTTTGAACTCGATTCATCATTTTATGTCAACGCCATTCAGTTAGATCCTCTATTACCAAATGGGGTAGTTTTCCCAGGTCAACGGATTGGAAGTAGAGGTTGAACAGAAATGCCTCTCAGGTCCCCCGATTTAACTCCACTAAACTTTTTTCTTCGGAAATCAAGAGTCTCCGATTCACGGGAAAAAATTACCAGGTGGTAGGCAGAAAGGTGTAAGAAAGAAAACAGAAGCTTGTTTATCCTATTGTATGCAATAGGATAAACAATACATGTTTCACTATACAATGACTTCTTTAGGCGTATTTATATTCTATAGTAGACACGTCTGAAGAAGCTATAATAAACTCAATAAAAAACGCGTCACGTGTTTCGCTATGCAATGGCTTCTTTAGGTGTGTCAATATTAAAGGTTAAACTATAGTTAAACTATAGCTTTTTCAGGCGAGTCCATAGAGTATACTATAGCTTCTTCAGACGTGTCAATACTGAGGAGTATACTATAGCTTCTTCAGGCTTGTCTATACCATAGAGTACAGTATAGCTTCTCCAGGCGTGTCTATACAGTATACTATAGCGTCTTCAGGCGTGTGTATAGAGTATACTATAGTTTCTTCAGGCGTGTTTATACTATAGAGTATACTATATCTTCTTCGGGCATGTCTATAGAGTATACTATAGCTCCTTCGGGCGTGTTCTTAGAGCATGCTGTAGCTTCTTCAGGCGTATCTGCACTGTAGCTTCATCAGGCGTTTTTGTAAACTATTTAATAAAAATCTTACAAGTATTTCTTGAATAGGTTATGAAATGCTGTTGGCTATTGTTTCATTACCGTTTTATAATGAAAAAGCCATGAAAATGGTGTACAGCTAAATAAAATTGCTCAATGTTTGTCATATCTTTGACACTAACTTTTCCAGTTTGTCTCAAATATTTTTATGACTTCTGATACCTTTTAAAGAAGACCGATGAAAAATCTGATTTCCCACACGAATAATTTCTTTCGTTGCAATATTTCTTCGTAAACCTAATTTCAAAAAATCGTAATAATTCAAAAACCTTAGTGAGGGGTTAATTCCAGGCATTCAACTTTATACAATGGCACGTTTGTTTGTCAGCAATGAGAGAACCAAGTTTTCAAATAAACTGTATTCAAGTTTTTTGTACCTGTTTTTCATTACGAAAAACTCAACATTTTCATGAACTCCAACAAAAATCCAATACGTTTCAAAAAGACTATCAACATCAGCAGCAATTAGCAATCATTCTTATAGCAACCCAAAAATAATTTTCTCTAGTTAAGTTCATGTTTATGAAAAATGGAATTTTCTCCCGCATTTCTTCCACAGTTATCTTTAAAAAATGTGCCAAGATAACTCAACAACAAAAACTGTGTGGGTTACATTTTATATTTATATACCACACGTTTTTAGCCAAACATCGATATTTCCAAAGTTAATAAGCCAGCTAGAAGGTAACACAAAACAGAGCTACATACAAGATCCAGCCGAAAAAATATGCAACAAATCAAAGTATATGAAATATCTGATGTCTCTAGGAAATATCATCCGTTATAAAAATTCTTTCGATACGAAAAAAAATGAATTGTTGCTATTTTTGGTAGACCCTGTATTTGTTAGAATGGCATCGGTTGCGGTATACTGATACCTTCACTTGATAAGGGGTGTTTTCCTGTGGTTAAAGAACCTGAATTGCAGTCGCAGAGTTAAGTCTTTTCGAACTGTTAGACAAAAAACATAAAACAATCAGGATAATAAATCATCAAAAACAAAATCAACGTAATAACGAACGTAATAACATTGCGATTATACTGTTTGTGCTGTTGTATAAGAATTGTCATCTGAAGACACAACCCGTAGTACATTCAGTCATTAGTAAAAAGGTTCTTCAAACATTTTAACGGTCTTGAAAATAAGAGGAAATTTCCCAATTACTTCATGACTGCTACAAAACAACAATTCAGTTTAAGATAAGGAATCCCACAAAATAAATAATCCATGAAAACATTTTCGTTTGTTAAATTTGTAAACAAAGTACTGTTTTTCAACATCACATATGAACGTAGATAATTGATAATTTCTTCTCAAAAAATCTATATTTTAAACCCTAACCTCAAAATTAATTAAATGTTATGGGCTATTGAACTAACGTAATCATAATCGGTTATAAAGCCAAATTTGCATTTCTTAGTTTTGTGCAATCCTTTCTAAGGACTAACTAGCTGGGATTAGGACTAACCAACTTAGGTAACATTAGTTATAGGACCCATATCGTATTTATTATATGTCTGAGGATGTGATATAGTAGTTTATACACAGTACATTCATCAGTTCATTACAGCCTCATAAGGCATAACTAACTGTAAAAAATGTAATCTTATAACTAATATAACATTAGTTATATGACAACGTAGCATCCATTTGTTTCTTACACTTCTATCTGAGGATTAACCAACGGCCTTATAACTGATGTAATTTAAATCATATAATCACATTGCATTACCTTCAAGGACTAACTAATTTATAACTAATGGCACATACTGGTATGTGATTATAGAACTAATGTAATTACAAGAGTGATGTGGTGCAACAGTCAATGTAAGTAATATTGGAATATAAGGCCACACTGCATTTGTAAGTTTAGTTTAACTTGTAAGAGAATTAACTAACAGAGCTTAGGACGAATATAATTAATGCAAGTTGAGACCAAATAACTTTTGTATTTATACCTTTGTCTGAGTTCTAACTAATCGTATAACTAATGGATATATAACTGATGGCTATATAACTAATGTAAATAATGAGTTATACGACATCGTAGCTAGTTTAGTACAGTATTTTATCTGAGGACTGACTAACTAAATGTGATGTGCCTCATAACAAAATCAATATTAGTTCCCTCTCTCAAAACTTAACTAATGTTACAGAAATATTAATGAGTTATGTTCCATTGCATTGGCATTGTGGCTAATTTAATTAATATTATTAATGATGCCATGACGGTATGGCGGTTTTTTGAAATTATACTTTTTTTGGGGCGTTAGGGAAAACCGAAAAACGACACAGTGAAGTTATCTTCTTCTTCTTTAATTTATATGACAGTTGCTTCTCTCAGTCGAGCGCATTTGGCCAGACTCCTCCTGTCCATAGTGAACAGGAACTACGTCCGGTGGCGCAGCTGTCTTGCTCAAGGCAATGCTGCCACCCTAAGTTTTCTCATGCACTTTTTGTTTACTTCTTTTGGCGCGTTGGGGAAAATTTATGAGAATTTTTACAACGCTTGCGCACACCGGCACCCTGAAGTTGGCTTCTTCTTCTTTAATTTATATGCCAACCTGAGTCTTCTCATTCAGTGTTTCTTTTAAAACAAAACGAAGTTATAACTTCTTACGGGCGTACCATAAGTACACACAAACACTCTCTTTTTTTAATAGCATGAATTGTATTTCGCAACTCAACTGTACATTCATTTTGATTATTTATCGACAAGAATGAAATCATCAGGAAGTTTCCTCTTGTTTTCAAGGTCAAGGTTCGATAAACTCCAGGAAAATAAACGTATTTTCCACTCCGTGAGCGCTTCTTTTTATTTTCCGTCTGGCGATATTCCGCATGCGACACACTCGGCTGAATCTCGAATACACTTTCACGGCAAATAAACTACGCTTCCAGAATTTCCCGGCTGAATTTTTCTCAAGACTGGCGTACGTTTTTTACGGGCCGTTTATCTTCCGCCGCGTCGCGAAAGGAGCCTACGGAAACGATATAACTTTTACGGCAAACGTTTTGTCAAACGCTCGGGAAATACTAGAAAACGGCGATGTCGGTTTTATGTAAGCGCGAAGCGAAACTACTTTGCGTAAAGTACCGTGTGATATGTTTTATTGACGAGGACAGGTGTTTCGTGTCGATGGCGGGAATATGTAGAGATATGTGTAGAGGGTTTAGATATACGGGGTCGGTCGAAAAGTAGGGAATATATTCATCTTGTGTCACTGTCAATTCGATTTTGGTCCAGAGCTCCTGTGTAGCTCTTGGAATCTCTCACTAAGTCTGCTGGTCGCGAGTGAGAGAAATTGAAGCCAGAGAGTGTGGAAAAAAGTGTATTCGTCTCACACAAACAAGCCTTGAGAAGTATATATAAATTCGGTCAAATGTCAAGATTTTTCTCACTATTTTCTTCGATAAAACTGTTTGCTTCTTCTCACTGTAGTTCTGAGAAGAACCGCTCTCTCCCACACTCGAAAACCTCCTGCCTCTCAGACTTTATTGCAAATTTCAAAGAACGCGATTATACGAAAAAACAACAAAGGCGAAAAAACAACGTAAATTTTGACTCGATTCTCTCCAGTCAAACGTTAAGAGCGTTAATGAAATTCCGACCGGATTATTTATGCTGTTTTCTCTCTCCGGCCGAAATTGAATATCGAACGGAAAACGGCGGAAGAAGAGAGACAGAAGCAGGCGAAATTAAATCGACGGCACGCGCCGCGAAAAATTTAATAAAAACCGCGAAACAATAATAATATCTCGTCGCCGACAAAGACATTTCATCGGGCGGAAAGAATCGAGTCGCGTCGCAAAAAAACGCGACAAAGGGATGCCGGTCTACATAAACAATTCGGTAGTCGGTATCGGACTGGAAAAATTGAAAATGTCACGATGGAAAAGCTTTTATTTTACAGGGTAACTTTCAAAAACGTACCGCAGGGCAAACCGCAAAGATATAATCTTATTTGATTTGAGCTCTAGAAGTTTAGCATTTCTGAATGGACCAAGATGGAATTAATGAAATGTCTAATTACGGTGGTACATGTTTATCATGCCTTACAACGAATAATCTTGGTGTATCATAGGGTTCTATTTTGAGGCCTACGCTATTCACGTTATGTTTATATGTTGACCTTGATCCTATCTGACGCATCTGTTACATTGTATGCAGATGACTCGACATTACATATGTGAATATGTGGCCATGTGAATATGTGGCCATGTGAATATATGATCAGGTGAATATGTGACCATGTAAATATGTGACCATGTGAATATGTGACATGCGAATATGTGACCATGAGAATATGTGGCCATATGAATATGTGGCCATGTGAATATGTGGCCATGTGAATATGTGACCATGTGAATATGTGACCATGTGAATATGTGACAATGACAATATTTGACATGTGACAATGATAATATGTAAAATTATGCAACCATGTGGATATGTGGTCATGTGAACATGTGAATATGTAGCCATCTGAATATGTGGCCATGTGAATATGTGGCCATACGAATATGTGGTCCTGTGAATATGTGACCATGTAGCCATGTGAATATGTGGCCATGTCAATATGTGACAATGACAATATTTGACATGTGACAATGATAATATGTAAAATTATGCAACCATGTGGATATGTGGTCATGTGAACATGTGAATATGTAGCCATCTGAATATGTGGCCATGTGAATATGTGGCCATACGAATATGTGGTCCTGTGAATATGTGACCATATGAATATGTGACCATGTAGCCATGTGAATATGTGGCCATGTCAATATGTGACAATGACAATATTTGACATGTGACAATGATAATATGTAAAATTATGCAACCATGTGGATATGTGGTCATGTGAACATGTGAATATGTAGCCATCTGAATATGTGGCCATGTGAATATGTGGCCATACGAATATGTGGTCCTGTGAATATGTGACCATATGAATATGTGACCATGTAGCCATGTGAATATGTGGCCATGTCAATATGTGACAATGACAATATTTGACATGTAGCAATNAAAATTAGTATGAATCACATCAATAAAGAACAATGCCAAGTAATTGTTGTTAAAGATTATAAGCAATAAAAAAAGGAGTTATTTCAAAAATTATATGGAAAACAGGAACAAAATTACCGAGAAATCACTTCAACATCTAAAACAGCACAAAAATGAGAAGAACTAGAAACAAAATGAAAACAGGAATGGGGGTAAACAACTAAGCAAAAATTAGAACAAAGAAGTCGGAAACAAAATGAAAGTGGGCAAAGAAAAAACAGCAAGAACAAAAACAGAACAGCAGCAGGTGGTGCTTCAAAAATTATAAGCAGAACAAAAATAAAATCAACAAAAAAACAAAATACACTATCCTAGAAATATTCTCTAGGATTACGTACAGCAGTTTTTTTTTTAAAACGAATTATTTTTGGCTCAAATGTTAATGTGTAAGATAAGTTTGGATTTCTGTGAAGTTGAACAATATTAAGTTGCATAAAATATGTCATAATTGATGTCTCTTGTAGTTGATTTTTCTGCACTTCAGAAATCACCAATTCACGACATATTTCTAGTACCACGCAATATTACAAAAAATGGTTTCAAACCTTTTCTTTTATTATTGTTACTAATAAACTACCACTCTCAAAAACATCGATTGAAAGTTTCGAAAAAAACACACACACAAAAAACAGGGGTACTTTCCAAATAAAAGTTGTAGAGTAGTTCATACTTTGTTTTAAAGTAGTTCAAAACGTACAATAACTGGGAATTATCTATTTTTGCTATTTCTACGAGTTGTTGAGTTCAAAAAACAAAAATAAAAGTACATATTCATTCAAGGATATTCATTGCTGTAAAAATGAAATGCATTTATTATATCAGCAATAAAAAAATTCGCTGAAACATTGGAAAATCCAAATTTCACAGGCACAAAATTTATAAAAATATGATGTGTACGATTGATGAATGAAATTTAGACTTACTTGTGTCAATATTTCTCTGTAAGTGTGAGGCAATACGATGCCGGGCGTCGTTGTACTCTAAATGCAAGCCCAACCTGAGTATTGTGGGATTCTTCTCGATGAGCTGGGTGATTTCCATTTCTATTTTGTTACCCAACACTTGTGACCTCTGAAACATGAGAGAACAAAAAATATTAATTCAATGCTATATTAGTACAGTCGCAGAAGTTTTTTTCAATGCCCATTTTGAAAAAATCTTACAAAAGGTGTATATACCTTTTGCCACAACCCTCACCAATTATTTTGTGGATTCTGAAAGTCAAGATTACAGAAATAAAGAACTATGAAAAGCACTAAACAGGTATTACAACAAAGGCTACGTTGGTCAAACTGAATGTACTGTTATGATTAGTTTCAAAGAACACATTTCATATATTTGGTTTCGTACTGTCACTAAAAATGCTGGGACTGAATGATAAAGTTCAAAGTCAAGGGCTTATATAGCGGCTACAGTAGTATCTTCGAAAAACTTGCCTGATTTGTCGCTCTGAATTCCTCAACGCTCTTCTTCTTCAACAGAGCCTTGATCAGCCTGACGATGCCCGACGGCGAGATGAAATTCGTTTCAACGTTCACCACTTTCAGGGTATCGTTGGTCTCGATGGCTTGGGCGAGTTTCTCGACGTGTTTGTCCGTCAGGCCGGAGTTCGCCAGCGACAAAGTCTCCAGATGCGTGTTGCTGCCCAAAGCTTTGAACAAACTGTCGAATTTCTCGTCGGATATATTCTGAAAACAATAATGGTGATTTCAAGAATTATTTCTTTGAAGAAGCATCGAAGAGTTTAAGAGAGCATGAAAATGACGATTTGGATTGTATCTGATTTGCGGCAGATCAACTTAGTTTTAAAAATGATCTCGAGATGATAGAAAAATGTATTCAAAAAGAATACAACAGCATACAAACAGAGAAATGCAGAAAACACAAGAAGTCTTTGAGCTAGCTCTTGAAATTGCAAACCTCCATTGAAGTCATCTTCTTCAAATTTATGTTCCACATGAATTTCATGCAGCCGGGATTTTAAAATCCTTCCAATGGTCACTATGCTAGAATGCGTAGCTAAGTGCCTGATACATAACATAGAATCAATACTGAAGTGACCCAAAACAGCAACTAGCTTAGTTTCCCTCTATTTTGTTATAATAATTCTAAATCCTGTGTTGCCATTGAATCATTGTGCTGTAATATTAGTGCACCTACCATTTTCATAATAAGGTTCCAATACCGTTATTCGCACAGTTATTGACCAGGCTATACTGATTATTAATCTACCCTGTAAGAGGAGCAGTTGTACGAATCCCAAAACTATCAAGCTCCATTTTCAGAAGTTCCTTAAAATATTATTCAGAACCATCAAACAGCAACTCCTCCACGAGAAACCCTGAGAAGTCTTTGAGCTAGCTCTTGAAATTGCAAACCTCCATTGAAGTCATCTTCTTCAGGTTTATGTTCCACATGAATTTCATGCAGCCGGGATTTTAAAATCCTTCCAATGGTCACTATGCTAGAAAGCGTAGATAAGTGCCTGATACATAACATAGAATCAATACTGAAGTGACCCAAAACAGCAACTAGCTTCGTTTCCCTCTATTTTGTTATAATAATTCTAAATCCTGTGTTGCCATTGAAACATTGTGCTGTAATATTAGTGCACTTAACATTTTCATAATAAGGTTCCAATATCGTTATTCGCACAGTTATTGACCAGGCTATACTGATTATTAATCTACCCTGTAAGAGGAGCAGTTGTACGAATCCCAAAACTATCAAGCTCCATTCTCAGAAGTTCCTTAAAATATTACTCAGAACCATCAAACAGCAACTCCTCCACAAGAAACCCTGAGAAGTCTTTGAGCTAGCTCTTGAAATTGCAAACCTCCATTGAAGTCATTATCTTCAGGTTTATGTTCCACATGAATTTCATGCAGCCGGGATTTCAAAATCCTTCCAATGGTCACTATGCTAGAACGCGTAGATAAGTGCCTGATACATAACATGGAATCAATACTAAAGTGACCCAAAACAGCAACTAGCTTCGTTTCCTTCTTATTTGTTATAATATTTCTAAATACTGTGTTACCATTGAAAAATGATACTGTAATATTAGTGCACCCTTCATTTTCATAATAGAGTTCTGATATCGTTACTGGTTCTGCAATTGATTGAACTTTCGTGAGCAAAATAGTTTGGCCAAAATGATGAGTGATACTTATGTTGTAGATAATTGTAGATGAATAGAATATAAATAATTCATCACTTCTACTTTTAATGCAGAATCTGAGGTTATGTTTTCATTACAAGCATCAAATTTCAAGGGCTGAATCATAAACAAGCAAATGAAGCAACTTTCGATACAAATCATGCTAACCACGCAATGAAATAATATTAATATAATTCTGAAAAAAAAGCATGACTTCCGTTCTTTCAGCGAACTTTGACTTTGAATCATTGCAGAAAAACGCTAATCACCTTAATATTGTTCCAGTTGAGGTCTATGAATTTACTCTCATCATCCTGAACTTTCTTTATTGTCTCATCTGGATCCGTCATATTTGGAGGGTCCATGGGGTAGATTTTTTGTTTGGAAGCCTTAGTGATGCCGTCCCATCCCAAACCAAGTGGTTGTCCTTTGTTCAGTAACGATGCGTGGTATTGGTCTTGGTTCATCATTGAATGAAAACCAAGTATAGCTGAAAACGTAAGAAAATAGAGTCGAATCTGCACGAAATAATCTGTAACATCTGTTATGTTGTTTTGGTGGTTTTCGGTTGGATTCTTATAGGAATAGATGAAGTTCAGGAGATGCAGTTTTCCTCATCGCTTAAAGACACCAACTTGGTTGGTGAAACACATGTAGAGAAGGGTATTGAAGGTCTGATTAATTATTGATATTTGAGATAGTATTTCAATTAGTGACAAGTACCTACAGAATTTGAATATTTATCATTTTGCAGATTCATACTGATAATACATTGAATCGACTGCACTTCCTCTGTTAAATAATAGTAAAGTCTCACCTGCCAAATCGATTATTTCATCTTGTGTTGCCGTGGAAAGGGCCTGCTCATATTCATCACCTAAATCAACTGCGATTTGTTCCTCAGCTTCTTGTTCTCTCACTGGGGGTGGTGGTGGTATCCACTGAATTGAAATAAAAAATAAGACAACGCACAACACCTCACCTGATGAACATTCTCAAATTCTCGAGTACTCATTAAACATACCTTTTTCCCCCGAACTGTTCCAGGGACGTAAGGTTTGATCTCTGGTATATCTGGAGTCTCTATCGCCTCCTTATTTATGTGGTCTATCAGTTTTTTTCTGTTCAAAGGACCCGTTGGATCCTTCTCGCATTCGTAGCTGTTCCTTTGCGAAGGGGGTAAGAATGTGTCCTAAAAATATTGGGTTTTCAAAGAGCGTATACTTTCAGGGCCGAAGCTAACTATGTCAAAGATATTCCGGTATAGTTGCCAGGAAAAAATCATATACTCACATCAGGATCAACTTCTTTGGCTAGCACACTGATTTCCTCTGCAGTCAACTTATTCAACAGTTCATCAACGTCTATATCATCATAAACACTCAAGTCTTTGCCGTATAATTTTGCAGGCGTTGTCATAGTGGTGGTTGTGGTTTTTGTGGACGTCTGAAAGAATAAAGAAAACATTTTTTGATTCAACTCCTTCATCAAAACAGGGCGTAACCACAATTTCATGCAGTCCAGGCTGTTACAAACGAAAGATGGTCATACCTAATTCAGATCTTCTTGAAGAAAAAAAAGGCCTAGTTTTCCACACCCAAAATTAGTGACCCCAATTTTTAATTGAGAAAGATTATGCACGATTTGCACCAAAAACTAGCTCTTCACCGGAACAAATGTCAGATTGTCACGGACACGGATTGGCAAAACAATCAATAAAAGTGAAGTATATCGTGACTAGTCATAGGACAACGTGGAATAAAACAGGTGTCTAAGCTTCCAGTACCGGAAAATATGTAGAGAAGAAGTAGTACTAATTGACCTTATTATTAAGTGATGCGACCCAATGGTTGCAACTGCGGTAAAATAATGACATTTTACAGTTGCTCATAAATGAAACCTATCTTTCTGAGTTCCTTCTGCATTTTCATTTTTGGTAAATGAGAAACTGATTTCCAGAATATGGCCGAAAAAAGATTTCCAGTTGCCTTATATGAAGTTGACGTTCCAGAATGAAGAATCAGCTATGAAGAAATATGAGGTGGCCTGTCAATTATGTCCCAAAATGAAAATGCAGAAGGAACTCAGAAAGATAGGTTATTTATTCATTAGCAAATGCCATAACTTTACCGCAGTTGGCAACCATGGGGTCGCATCACTCAATAAGGTCAATTGAGAATTGAAAATAATCATTACTGATATGGTATCTCAAAAGGACTGGTTTCATTGTTATGTAAATTTCGTTTATATTCAGAAAGGTTCGTTTATATCGTTTTGTTCACTTATGAACTTATGAACTTTTCTTGATGAAAAGAACAACGTAATTTTTTTACTTGCCAAAAAAGGAATTCGATTTACTAAAAACAATATTATATAAAGAACCTATTTTTAGGATCATTGTGAACTAGACCTTTTCATTTCAATATCACAAACAATAAAAGAAACGTCCACTGCAAAGGAACTACTGTCATACATGTTTTTTCTCCAGATATGAAAGTATCCTTGATTCTAGAAACTGTAAAATGGTTCTTTTATCTCAAAGAAATAAAAAGGAAGTTTCTCTTTCTTCTACTTAGCATATTCTGTCTAAAAATTCGCATTATTTATCTTTTAATAGGTGAGAAATATCAGTAGATAGATTTGGCAACGTTGCAAACGCGGCCTTCTTGATCGAAATGGTTACGCCCGTGACCTAGACGATGAGATTCATTCAGAAATAATGACAAATTTCCCGAGCAGGTAAATAAGGTGAGAGATCAAAGGAAGCCGAGGAAGTTATTCGCTTTAGCGTTGTTTTGCTAGCGATTTCTGGATTCCAGACTCTTGTAGGATAGAGATTAGCTGATGGATTGGACTCCAACATGCAGTGGCGTGGAATATCAATTTTAATTCTTGTCGGTCAGGGTGTGGAAATTCTATGGAAGCCAAAAAAAGAAAACTACCAGAACACAACCTTTTCATGTACTCATAAAGGAGAACAGTTTAATCTACTACTATGGGAGGATAATTAGCTCTTGTGAAGGTTTCAAATTGGAATATTTTAATCAAATTTCATAATTTTATCTCTGTTGATATGCTAATCGTCACCAATGAGAGAAGTTGGATTTACTTCTTCCGGAGCTAGATTAATGATAATGCTTAAAATAGAGGCATTTACTACGAAACAATTAATAAATAAACCTGCCAAGATTCAACTCATTCAGCCAATAAACTAAATGTCTCTTCTTCCACCCACTACTAATACAATGTCAAGTATTCGAATGAGACAATGAATAATAAATCAGTTTCATTTTGAAAGATTTCGTATTTACTGACATTTCAATATCTGGGGGTGGACGTTAATGACTTTTACGGTATTGTGACTGAAGGATCGTTTGATTTTTTCGAGAACAAAACACAAGCACTATAGAAACAGCCTTAACGCGCTCTAATAGCGGTGCCTGAGCGAAAATAGCGATTCACATTCTTAAAAGAGTTCTTAAACAGTGGAATTTTGAACCTCAAAACGATGAGCAGCTACAGTCAGTCACTGCTCTTGATGGAATCAAATGTGCCAAGTCACTAGAACAACTCCCGTGAAAGTATTTATAAAAGAGAGACAAATCCCCACTTTCTTCGATGTTCCAGATATTACAGTTCAAAGTAGACTCCTAAAGATGTTCGCTTAGAGGACACCTGAATAAAATGGGGCTGTATATCGGAGACCTTAGCTGTAGATTATGCAACGAAGGGATAGAAACAGCTCTACACATCTTATGCGAATGTAAGGCACTGAATCACAGGAGGCAGGCAATATATGAACGTACAAAATTACGTCCAGAAGAATATGACGAACATACAACACGGAACCTGTACAAACTAGTACAGGGAACGAGACTGATGGAATGGGTGTCATGAGAAGATGGGAGAATAAACACGAATAAATGGGAGAATGAAGACGGACAAAACTTTTCAAACAACCTAATATAAGTTTCCTTTAGAATTTTTGAAGAGGACACATAAAGAACGAGGACTCCTGTCAATTCATGTCTTTGATCAAGGGCTCCAAAATGTACAACAGTTCATAGATAATCAATATTACTGTATTCAAAGCCCATATCTTCTAAACGAATAGACCAACTTCCAAAAGCAGCAATGGAGGAGAAATCAAAATCTCTTCTCAACGACAACCACGCTCACAGACTTGAAGGTTTTCCAAAAGACTTTGAAAGAAAGAATTATAAAAAATATCTCTAAATCCCTACTAATATTATAAATGCGAATGTAACGGTTATGTTACGTTAGGTTAGTTTAGGGTAGGTTAGGTTATGTAACGTTAGGTTAGATTAGGTTAAGTTAGGTTAGATAATCATTTTTAAAAATTGGATATCCCAGCCAAGCATCAAAATATAGTTCTCATATTGATTCATTTCTATTGTACTAACACTTATTTAATGGCATACATGCTAGCGAAGCCGCGGGTAAAAGCTAATAAAAAATAATTTGTTCAATTTCAACGATTCATGTCAATGATCACTTATCGTTTTTCAAGATTATAGGCTAGGCATACTAAACAAATGTTCATTCACATTCACAATTGTTAACGGATCTACCGTTTCTAAAAGTGTTAACCTTGTTTATGAGGTGTAAGAAAAGCTCATTACCATAAACAAAACGCTACTTTGAATGAAAACAGGTGATGAAAACAAACATTGTCTTAAGTACCGATGTTGTTGGAACACAATAGCCTCGGAAAGTTGAATATCCATTGTTAGATTGTTTCGTAATGATAACACGGTTATCTATAAGACAATGGGTGGATAACAGTTTTCATTGATGTGTATCTGCTATATTTCGAAATGATTGAAATGAAAAAGGTGTAGGTTCTTAGATTATCAGGTCTATGTAAGCTTTATTATGTTCAATATGAACCCCTAGAAAGAAATCTAGAGGAGTGAGATCCAGAGACTTTGGTGGCCATTCTTTAGGACCATCGCCCTGGAGCTGCATAATGAGGAGGTGCACCATCCGGATGGAAAATTATCTCGTTTTCGAATACATTTAAATCCTCCTCAATTGCCCTGTTTGATGCACGGTCATATTCGATTCTCCAACATATCCAAATATTTATCACTAGTCAAATTATCATCGATAATAAAGGGCCTATGATGTGTCACCTGAAATTCCTGCCCAAACATTCAGTTTTTGAGGTCGTTGGGTATGAACTTGACGGTATGAGTGAGAATTCGTATCACTCCAATATCGACAATTTTGCCCATGCAAAACTTAGTAAGAGATTGCGAATTTTCCATTAGTCCAACGTGCCCTAAAACTGCAGTACAAATAGCTAGTTAGCGAACAGAAAAACTGAGCTGATGGTCTATTCGGGGACTTATGTCGTTGATGAACAACTAGAAAAGAATTGGACCGAGTATAGAGCCCTGAGGCACTCTTATTACAGTTTGTACTTTTTCGGAGTAGTATAACGAAGATTTGAAATTATTTTCAGATGAGATACCGACGATTTGTGTTCCGTTGCTGAGGTTAGATTTTATTAGATCATTGGCTTTTCCTCTAACACCATAGCGCTCTAGTTTTTCCATTAGTAGCTCATGAAAAATGAGCTCGAAAGCTTTCGTTAGGTCGAAATAAATACCAGTACTTCATTACCTTTATAGAGTTGATCAATTATATGGTTGAGTGAATCATACATCGCAGATTTGGTGGATCTATTGGGGAGGAAACCGTACTGATTCACCAGAAATCATTTTCAATAAAATACGACTGTAACCTATTGTAAATGAGGCGTTCAATTATTGTTGAAAAAGCTGATATCCATCTTGAGATTCTATTTTTTTTTAAACTTTATTATTAACGCAATTTAGCCTAACTTGTTAATCTTTCCATTCCTCCTCTGCTTATACCTGCATCAAAACTTTTAATTCTGACCATCCCGAGGAATTCGTCAACTCCGATCTATCTACATTGAAGCAAAGCCGTGATTAATTGGGTGTTTTACCTGTTGAGGAAATAAACAGTTTCAAAAGGAGGATTAAGGTTACTAGAGTAACCACTTTTTAATTCGAAATAGTTTTCAGAGATTTTGCAATTGCAATTCTTAGTCTGTTTCCTCAGGCAGCGGAGTAATGAATCATTTTTAAGATGCTGTTTTCCAAGTGTACATAATTGAGTGGTTTTGAATGTTAAAAATGAAGTATTCATTCCAAACATGCAATGTTGTTGTATGTATCGCAACGTAATTGTACTTATGCACAACATAATTGATGTTCATGTTGTTACTACCAGTATTTTACAATCTTCTTGTGTTGGAGGTGGAAATGCGTAGAACAGTTAATGGGTTTCCTCGATTGCCTGATTTTGATCGCATGGACTTTTTGCACCTAACGCAAGAAACTCATAATTTCCGTAATTCTCAACTTTATATTGGTTTTTCGTGGAATATCGTCAGTACTGACCCACTTCAATAAATCACTGAACTGAACCCATTCAGTTACTAACTCATGCTAACATCTGATAGACCACGGATTGTTTGTAAAACAGTCGTTAAGGCGGTTTCTATTTTCGCTCGCTTCGATATGCCATTTAACCACAAAAAGAGTTTTAAAATAGTTGATGTCGGCCTGAAATAGAACATAAGCTTGTCGCTTTCGTTTGCCGACATATCGACAGCCATTAAAAGTGCAACACAAATCGAGTAAAA